TCTGCCAGCAAGCAGCAGGGCTCCAGCTCTTACTGAAGTGCCAGTCAGAGCAGTTAAGAACATGAGCTCTGTAGTCAGACAGGCGGGGGAAGAATCCCTACTCTGCCCTCAGCTCATTATGGGACTTTGAGTGAGAGAGTTATTTAACCTCTCCAAGCCTCCTTATGCATTCACCCACTTCAAAAATGTTTATTAATTTTTTTTTTTGAGACAGAGTTTGGCTCTTGTTGCCCAGAATGAAGTGCAATGGTGCGATCTCAGCTCACCACAACCTCTACCTCCCAGGTTCAAGCGATTATCCTACTTCAGCCTCCCAAGTAGCTGGGATTACAGGCTTGCACCACCACACCCGGCTAATTTTTTTATTTTTAGCAGAGACAGGGTTTCTCCATATTGGTCAGGCGGGTCCTGAACTCCCAACCTCAGGTGATCCACCTGCCTTGGCCTCTCAAAGTGTTGGGATTACAGGCATGAGCCACCACGCCTGGCCCATATTTATTAAATATTATGTGTGGGTACAGGTTTGCACAATAATATAGCAGTGAATAAATATGCACCCCATCCTCATGAGACCTGCACACTACTGGGGATATGTTAGTATGTTGCAGAGACTGCCAGATAGAGTCTCAGTCCCCATTCTATCCCTCTGCCTCCTAGATCACAATCTCTCAGGTTTGACCTGTTCAGCTGGGGATGACATGCTCTGAGGACAGATGCATGTCAGCATGTGAAGGGCTTGGACACAGGTGGCGGTGGTCATGCTCTGTTTGTTATTGTTATCAACTGTCTCCTCTCAGGAGTGGCCTCTCTAGCAGCCCACAATGTTGTACACACCAACACTATTCTTTTCTGGGGGCAAAGTTGAAGCCTTGAGCCACTAAAGTAGCCTGTACGGCCTGGATCCCCAGAATTCCATGTCTCCAGGAATAAGGATGAAAAACACCATTTGAAAGCCCCAAATAAATAATAAAATGTATTTGTATTCTTAGGGAAGTCAATTTTGAAAATTTGCAGATTAGTCCTAGAAGGTTAGTACATTCTAATTCTACATTCTTCTACTTTTGGTCTTCATCCTTCAACCTCTGTAGCAGACAACTGCTTTGTACCACACAGCAGCTTCTCCCCTTCCTGTGGCCTCAATACTCTGATTTTGTTTGGGGGTAACCATCTCCTCCCTATTCTCATCAGGTGTTACAGATAAAACTGACTCTTCCCTGGCTCCAGGAGGTAAATACTGTCTCAGGGTTAACTTTTTCCCCCTCAGGCCACCATGACTAATTCAAGAATGGGACATGAACCATAGTCAGGCTAACTGGAGCCACTGAGACCCAATGATGGGGTCACTGTTTGAGCTAACAGGGAGGCAGATTCCTTGTTTTTCACTTGACTTAAATATGGAAAGTTGTGGGCTGGAGCTAAAGCCATATAGCTGTCATGAGAAAAGTCTGCCTGTCAAGGCAGCTGGCCTAGAAGAAGGCAGTGTTGAGACCCAGAGGCAGGAAAACTAGTGCCAGTGACAGCTGCAACTCTCATTACGCTGTACTAGCAGACAGCCTTATCCCTGGTCTTTTCAATTAGATGAGAAAATAAATGCTCATTTTGTTTAAGCTAATTTAGAAGTTTAGATTCTTGTCACAGGTAACTGACAAAGTCCTAACTGATACATTATCTATTATCCCAACTCACCAACACAGCTTGACTTTGAGATAGTCAATTTCCTGGCCGACTGTTACAAAAAAAGCCTACCCACTATGTCACCCAGATCCACAGCCTTTTTAGTCTTTGTCTCTTTAAGCCTGTCCAAGTTCCAGAGAGTTGCTCACAGCAGAACTGATACCTACTATCTGTGAACATACGGCCAGCTGGTTTGAATTACTGCATTGATCTACAATTTTAACATTACTCCCACACTCTGTTATTCTCTTCATAAAATCTACTGGCTGAATAGATAAGATAGTAGGCCTTGAAACATCCCCCGTACCCCACGACACACAGAAGCAGCAATGAGTCCCAGGCCTTTGGAAATATTAATATTTCTTTATATTTTCAATATTTATCCTCCAAAAGTGGGTAATGCGTTTAAGACCAAATTTTTACTGACTTAAGATCAGTCAAAATCAGCAAGTTAAAGCAAATTGGAATTGAAGCAGAAATCAATAAAAACATGAGGACTCACCAATCAAGGACCAGATAGGATTGTCCTCCTCTTCAATGTTTGAAAATTGACCTATGAGATTAGCTTGAATCTCAGCATTTAAAGTGGGTAAACCTCTTTCCATCAGGGTCTTGTTAATCTCAACACAAGTCTGAACACCAATAGAATTCAGGACTTCCTTCAAGTTAAAGGTCCTGTGAAACATAAAATGAAATTCCACCAGGGAAAGTTTTTGTTCATCAGTTTATTTTTAAATATACTGACTTGTTTTGTTGTCTACCAAATTTTTCTTAAACAATAATAGCCTCTATTAGAATGAACTTATAAAATAGTAACTCCTCCCAACCACCAACCTTCATATGTAGCAGATTTTTAAATACTTAAAACCATTAAATTGTGTAGCAGTAATTAAATAGAAAAGCAAAACCAGAAAAGTGTGGTCTCTGAAAATGCACCTGTAAGCCCATTTTATATTGCAGGGCTATCAGAAAGGGACAGAAAACACCAACTTACTTCCTAAAATAAACCCGTTGGTCTGAGTGCTTCATTTACACATTTTTTTAAAATGTACTTGATAAAGGAAGTAGACTTAATTCATTTGTCTATGCTTGAGCAGTAAATCTACAACACCAATCAAAAACAACAAATGAAGATATTCAGAGGTCAAATACCTAAAACTCTTGGCTGATCATGACCAAAGATAATAAGCTCCTTCTCATTATTCAAGTAACTAATGAATAATCTTCAATATATAGAGTCCATAAAATTGTAAAGGTAATTAAAGAGTGAGTTATTTAGTAGCTAAGGAAAAATAGGTCATTAGAAAGGCTTTTGTTGAGGCTGGGCACAGTGGCTCATGTCTGTAATATTCCAGCACTTTGGGAGGCCGAGGTGGGCAGATCACCTGAGGTCAGGAGTAGGAGACCAGCCTGACCAACATGATGAAATCCCATCTCTACTAAAAATAGAAAAATTAGCTGGGTGTGGTGACATGCGCCTATAATTCCAGCTACTCAGGAGGCTGAGGCAGGAGAATCTCTTGAACCTGGGAGGCAGAGGTTGCAGTGAGCCAAGATCGTGCCACTGAAACTCCAGCCTGGGCGAGACAGCGAGACTCCATCTCAAAAAAAAAAAAATAAATAAATAAATAAATAAAAAGGCATTTGTTGGGTCCACATCATTAGGGAATGATGATTGAAAATTCTATCTCACTATCCAGAAAGGGCCTTAAGATAACTCCAAAATGGGAATTAAAGGATGTGAGAAGGGCTCAATGATAAGAAGCAGCGTAATAGAGTGAGTTGGAACATAGGCTATGGTGTCGTGTGGAGCTGGGTTCAAATCCTGGCTCTGCCACTGAAATTGCTGTGTCTAATAATTAGCTCTTAGCAGATGGTCAGGCACATAGAAGAAGACGAAAAAGAGAAAAATGGGTTATCATGTTTATCATCGTTAACAGCAATAAGAAATAAGTTATTAGTGTTCTGCATTGACTGGAATTTGTTAAAAGCCCACAATGGACCTGACTTTGGAGTTCTACAAACTCAAGAATAGACCGATAGTGCTAAGAATTTTACCCTCTGACTTTTTATCCACTACAAGGTAGTGCTCTAGCTTTTTCTTGCTTTTAATCAGTGAGTTCTTAGGCTAAAATAAGAAACTGGCTAGCCATATGCAGAAAATTGATACTGGACCCCTTCCTTTCACCATATACAAAGATCAACTCAAGACTTAACTATAAGACATTTAAAAACCCTAAAGGAAGATACAGGAAATACTCTTATGGACACAGGCCTTGGGAAAGATTTCATGATGAATTATCCAAAAGCAAATGTAACAAAAACAAAAACAGACGACTGGGACCTAATTAAACTGAAGAGCTTATTCAGAGCAAAAGAAACTATCAACAGTGTAAACAGCCTACAGAATGGGAGAAAATATTTGCAAACTATGTATTTGACAAAGGTCTAATATCTAGAATCTATAAGGAACTTAAACACTCAACAAGCAAAAAACTACCTCATTAAAAAATGAGCAAAGGACATGAACGGATACTTCTGAAAATAAGACATACATGTAGCCAAAAAGCATCTGAAAAAATGCTCAACATCACTAATCATTAGAGAAATTAGAGAAATGCAAATGAAAACCACAGTAAGATATCATCTCATACCAGTCTGAATGATTATTTATTTATTTATTTTTTTTTTGAGATGGAGTCTCACTCCATCACCCAGGCTGGAGTACAGTGGCACACTCTTGACTCACTGCAACCTCCACCTCCCAGGTTCAAGCAATTTTCCTGCCTCACCTTCCTGAGTAGCTGGGACTACAGGCATGCACCACCATGGCCGGCTAATTTTTTTTTTCTTTTTTGCATTTTTTGTAGAAACAGGGTTTCACCATCTCACGCAGGCTAGTCTTAAACTCCTGCCCTCAAGTGATCTGCCCGCCTTGGCTTCCCAGAATGCTAGGATTACAGGCATGAGCCACTGTGCCCAGCCTGAATGGCTATGATTAAAAAGTCAGAAAATAACAGATTCTGGCAAGGTTGCAGAGAAAAGAGAACACTTACACACTGCTGGTGGGAATGTAAATTAGTTCAGCCACTGTGGAAAGCAGTTTGGAGATTTCTAAAAGAACTTAAAACAGAACTACCATTCAACTCAGCAATCCCATTACTAGGTTTATTCCCAAAGAAATAGAAATCGCTCCATCAAAAAGACACATGTACTCTTAGTTCACTGCAGCACTATTCACAACAGCAAAGACATGGAATCAACCTAGATGCCCATCAATGGTGGACTGGATAAAGAAAATATGGTATATATATAGAATGGAATACTATATAGCCATGAAAAGAGTAAGATCATGTTCTTTTCAGCAACATGGGTAAAGCTGGAAACCATTATCCTAAGTGAATTAATTCAGAAACAGAAAACAAAATACCACATGTTCTTGCTTATAAGTGGGAGACAAACATTGAGTAAACATGGACACAAAGGGGAACAATAGATACCGGAGCCTACACTTAAAGGTGGAGGTGTGGGGGAGGGTGAGGATTTTTTTTTTTTTTTTTTTTTGAGACGGAGTTTCACTCATGTTACCCAGGCTGGAGTGCAATGGCGCGATCTCGGCTCACCGCAACCTCCACCTCCTGGGTTCAGGCAATTCTCCTGCCTCAGCCTCCTGAGTAGCTGGGATTACAGGCACGCACCACCATGCCCAGTTAATTTTTTGTATTTTTAGTAGAGACGGGGTTTCACCATGTTGACCAGGATGGTCTCGATCTCTTGACCTCGTGATCCACCCGCCTCGGCCTCCCAAAGTGCTGGGATTACAGGCTTGAGCCACCGCGCCCGGCGAGGGTGAGGATTAAAACGAACTATGCCCACTACCCGGGTGATGAAATCACTGGTACACCAAACCCCAGCGACCCATGATTTACCCATGTAAAAAACCTGTACATGTGCCCCTGAACCTAAAATAAAAGTTGAAAAAGGGAAAAAAATTAAAAATTTATCAATCAATAAATAATCTTTCAGCTCTTCAAAAAAAGTTGTTTGAGCATAAGCCATACCTTCTATTCACAATGAAGAGGGAAAAACTCTTTCTAGTTTTCAAGATGCATCATCAAACCAAATATAAATGACACCTTGGTCTACTATTTAGTATTATCCCTTTTTTACACTATGAATGCTATTGCCCTCTCCATAATGAGGATAATTGAGAATTGACTGTATTCATTTCCTAACATGGGAAAAAATTAAAACAATAAAACAACCAGATAAACAACCAGATAAAATTATACAGAGGATGATTTAATGGCTAGTTATTAATAGCTAATATTCATTGAGTACATGTTATGTGCCAGACACCTGTACAGGAATCATTTTAAATTCTCACAACTCCAAGGTAGATATTAATGTAATTATTATTCCCTTTTTACAAGTGAGGAAGTCAGGCTCATAGTAATTTGAGAAGGTATTCAAGTGTTCATAATAAGTCAATAGCAGAGCTGGGATTTAAACCCTGGTCTGTCTGACCCAAAAGCCTGTCTTCTTAGTAACCACTTTCTGTACACTTTACAGTAACACTTAAGCAGCACCGGGTGTTCTCTAAGGGCTTAATAAATAAAAGTTTCTGGAAATTAATGATTACCCGTGCAGGAAAATGGTAAGACCAACTGCAAAATCAGAGATTTCCTTTCATTATTGGTCTTGGGTCCTGGAATGACCCCAGCAGGTGAGCATCAGAATCAGGAGAAAGGTCAGATCAGGGCTCAGTCCTTGGTCTGCCCTTTTCTAGCTGTGTAGCCCAAGGCAAATTCTAAGTTTCAGTTGGATTCTTTTTTTTTTTTTTTTTTTAAATAGAGATGGGGTTTCTCCATGTTGGTGAGGCTGGTCTCAAACTCCCAAACTCAGGTGATTCACTCACCTTGGCCTCCCAAAGTGCTGAGATTACAGGCGTGAGCCACCGTGCCTGGCCGGGAAGTTGGATTCTATAACTACTTGGGCTCCTTTTGGCTCTTAATAGTCTAGGATTTGATCAAGTAATTTATATGCTCCCTGAATAATAGGCGGGAGGATGAGAAGACAGGTTCATCTCCCTTCAATTACAGGAATATAAAGAGGATATGTCTTTGAAGACACCTGAAAGAGGAACCAGGAGGATAAGCTGACCCATATGAGACCCATGAAACCATGTGGCCATTCACCAAGACTAAGAATTTTCTGACTTGGATAGTAATTCCTAAGGAATGATATAAATACAAAATCTAAATGGGATTCCAGCATTCATGAAGGTGTAATACTGGAGATAAATTTAGCAAAAACCGAAATCTTCATTGGACTTGTGTCATCTCTGAAAGGCAGAATTGTCAATGCTTCTTAAGACTTTGCAGCAAGGTGGATTTGTGAAGTCAGTAAATGTTTCATTGCAGAACAATGATGAAGTCAGAACAACTGTACCTGGAACACCCTCTTCAATAGCACAGTTCTAAACACTGAGCTTGGCGGAATCTGTGTTTCGTTTGTTTTTTCCAAAGCACTGTCAAACAAAAGCTGTTGCACACATTCATTGTAAGTGGAAATACTACACTCACCCTAGCACTTGTCATGGAAAACACCTCTCCCTTCCTATGAGAGGACATCTAAGCCTTCAGAGATATTAAAGGAAATTCTAGAAAAAGAAGGTGTAAGATAAGCTTCTCTAAAGCAGTCCTTAATCTCACATCCAGATGTCCAATGTTATTCTTGTTCTCTGAGACGCATGCAGAGCCTTAATACAAGAGGGTGCAGATGCAAACATTTGGAACTTACTCTTTGTTCATGCCTTCAAGTAGAACAGCTGAAATCCTTTTTAACCTGTTTGCAAACTCAGGCAGGCCTTCTGTAATAGCACCCACCATGTTGTTGGTAATTAAGGACAGGCAGGCAATAACTTTCAATTGATTCAGCTTTTCTGTCAGTTCCTGAAGACGTGCTCCATCTGTCATGAGTGTCTGACATATTTATTTAAAATATAAAAATAGAAAGTGTAGCTCAATATCATGAAAACAAAAAATAATCAATGTCATTTCCAAATTCCCATTTTTACCTGATTTTTGTAAAATCATTAAACCACATGAAACACAGACCAGATGATTCAAAGTTAGTAAGAACTAAACTGCTGGGAAATTTGGGGGAAGAACAAAGTTACTCACCTCTGGTAATTCTTTTTTCTGATAATCCCACTGTAACAGTTTCAAGTAACTATTATTTAGCACCAAAGTAGGGCTCAGGCTTGGCTTGGAGGTATTTTCGGCCCCAGGAGTTAAAGCACTCTCAGAAAGAGAAAATAACTCTTCATTTACAGATTCTTTTATCCATTCTGTAGTCTGATCAAGAGCACCTAAGAGAGAAAAGGCCACATATTTGTTCTACAGTTGATTGATCCCTTCACTGGTGTATTCATTTAACAGATGCTGTGTTGGGCGCTGGGCATGAATGAAAAGACACAGCTGTGCTCTGCAAGGAGTTTACAGTCCAGATGGAAAGATAGACCTGTAAACTAACAATCAGAGTACAATTAATACTAGTAATTGTGGGAGAAGAGGCTGTCCAGGAAAGAATCAAAGAGGAAAAGCTCTGTACATGCTCTAGAAAAGAGAGCATATGGCACATTCTAGATGCCACAAATAAATCTGTATTGCTGGTCCACAAAGAACTAGGGGAAGAGGGTTGTAGTAGATGGCATTGGATGGGTAGTTTAGAAGCCAGCCTTGAGTTTGTGCAGAGAAGGTATTTAGAAGGCACTAATTTTTACACAATTTTGGTAAAAGGTGAAAGATTTATACTATCTGAAGAGAAAACAGTATAATTGTTACCAATTTTTAGGTCTTGGGACCACTTTTAACATCTAATTAGAGATATGCCTTTCCCAAGATGAATGTGCTTGCTCACGCACACATGTCCACAAACAACTGTCATTCTCTCTTCCCAGATTCATAGTCCCCAGGTTACAAACACCAGTGATGGGGAATGGGGAGTTTTAAATAATATTATTTTCTTTTTCTTTTTCTTTTTTTTGAGATGGAGTCTCGCTCTATCACTTAGGCTGGAGCATAATGATATGATCTTGGCTCGCTGCAACCTCCGCCTCCTGGGTTCAAGCGATTCTCCTGCCTCAGCCTCCCGAGTAGCTGAGACTACAGTCACACACCACCACCCCCAGCTAATTTTTGTATTTTTAGTAGATGGGGTTTCGCCATGTTAACCAGGATGGTCTCAGTCTCTTGACCTCTTGATCCGCCTACCTTGCCTCCCAAAGTGTTGGGATTACAGGTGTGAGCCACAGTGCCTGGCCTTTTTTTTTTTTTTTTTTTTTGAGACAGAGTCTCGCTCTGTTACCCAGGCCGGAGTACAATGGGTGATCTCAGCCCAAGAAAAATTGCGTGGAAAGAAAGACTGAACTAGTGGAGAGTGTAAATTGTTGCAGTGGTTCAGACAAGAGAGTAAATGGACAAGGACAATAGAAGTGAGGGGTAAAGAGAAGAAAGGTGAGAAATATTTAGGGGGAGCACCCACAGGTCTTGGTGACCACTTACACGTGGAGTTAGAAAGGAGTATTCTAGGATGACTCCCAGATTTCTTGGACATCTAAATGAATGCCTGTGCCATCTACCAAGATATGGAATATAAGCTAGAAAGGTTCTGAAATAAATCCTTCTCATAACTTTTCTAAGGCTACCACCAATCTCCTGGTTGTCAAATCCAACAAACATGTCCTTCCTATATTTTCTAAACATCTTTGTAATATAGGCATCTCTTAGTACAGCACTCCTGAAACTATTTTCCTGGCTTCTCTGATACCACTCTGTCCTGGTTTCCCCTAGCTGTGCTTCTACGTCTCATACCTGGATTGAAAAGACAAGATGAGAAGACAGGTGCATCTCCCTTCAATTACAGGAAGATGTTCCTCTGCCTGTTCTTTAATATTGATGCTTCCAAGCACTCTACTCAATCCCCATTGATTTGGTACTCTTCCATCTCACCAGAACATCTTACTCATTACTATGGTTTTTATTTCCGTCCATACCCCAGAAGGCTCCCAAATCTGTATCTCCAGCCCTCACTTGTCTCCTGAGCTTTTGATTTCCTCATTTGTTGAATGAGCAAATGGGAGAGTCACTAAATATGAAGTTGAGCAGAGATGCCCAGTGTAGCACACTGCTACATAGTGTTTCCAACATCCAGATACAACAGGTACTTTATACCTGTTGTATGTACAGTCTTGAGATTCTTTAATCTCAAGACTATAGGCAGTAGTAAGATAATTTAAAAGTGATGAGTTATTAGTATTTGTTTACCTTTACTTTATAATTATTATTTTTTCACACATGTAGATATGCTTATATTTATAGATATAATAAATTCATACAATAAAATGTTCAGCTCTTAAGTGTTCAGTTTGGTGAGTTTTAACTACTCTATATACCTATACAACTACCACCTAAAACAAGCTATAGACCATATCCATTATCCCACAAAGTTCCCTTCTCTCCCTTTCCAGTCAAAGTGCACCTCACTCAACTACTTTTAACACCTAACTGCATGAATTAGTTTGCCTTCTAGAAATTCACATAAATGGAATCATAAAGTACCTAGCATAGTGTTTCTGACATTTACCCACTTTGTCTTATGTATCACAGTTGATTCTTTTTAGGGCTTTAAAAATAGCTTTTAAATTTTGAAACAGCTTAAACTATTACAAAATAAAAGACTTAAGCAGTTGTGAAAGTAGTACAGACAGTTCCTACCTTTCACCCAGCTGCCCCCAATGATAGCATCTTAAATAACTACAGTATATTGTCAAAATCAGGAAACTGACATGGGTACAATACTTACTGATTTTTATCAGTTTTTACATGCATTCTTTGTGTGTGTATGGTTCTAAGAAATTTTATTACTTATGTGGATTCATGTAATTATCAGGATACTGAACTAT